CCGTTGCCTGGATGACCTGTTTTGTTAGCGCTTCGGCCCGTCGCCCGACCTCCCCGACAAGCATAGCTTGTTTCGCCGTAGCGTTCAAATCTTTGATATGGACATGGATGAGATTGTTGCTACCCTGCATGTGATGTATGCTGATGACTCTAGTGTGACTGCTTCCTACTACCCCTTGTTGCCTAGTGTCGGCATGTCTAGTCTTGCCTTCCCTGCTACGTCAGGCGTCGGATCCCTTGCTTTGTTTAGCCTAGGTTCTACTTTCGCTGCTCTGCCTTCAGACACCACTGCTCCGCTCTCCTTCACCCTCGACTCTGGCGCTTCTCGGTGATTCTTCTGTGACTCCACTACGCTGACGTCGCTTGCTACTCCTGCTGCAGTTTCCCTTGCCGACCCCTCCTCCGGCCCGGTTGTCGCTCGCAGTTCCACCACCCTTCCCTGTCCGGCGGTTCCTTCGGACTCTCTTACAGGCCTGCACATCCCCTCGTTCTCAAGGAACCTAGTTGGTGTCGGCTGCCTCCAGGACCTTGGCGTCACGACTACGTTCCCTGGTCACGAGCGGTACGCTGTCTGTACCGAGGCTGCCACTGGTGCCCCCCTCACCACGTTCCCCCGGGACCCGGTGTCCGGACTGTTCACACTGGACACAGCGACCCCCCCGGTTGGGACATCTCCTCAGGTGGCTGCGTCTACCCAGGTTGCTGCGGCCTGCTCCTGTCGGTCGCTCACTCACCCGACACTCCTGTGGCACAACCGTCTAGGTCACCCCGCCTTCAAGCATCTGCGTCACATGTCACAGCACGGTCTTGTCCTAGGTCTCTTAGGGTCGTTCCCTGAGTTGCCCTCCTCCCCAGCACCACCGTGCATGCTCTGTGTCGAGGGCCGGCTCCGCCGTGCCCCTACCGTCGCACCGCTACAGACTTTGCACATGGACGTCTGGGGCCCCGCCCCCGTCCATGGGCCGCCTCAAGAGCGCTACTTCCTAGTGCTTGTCGACGACTACACGCGCTACACCACCGTGTTCCCCCTGGAGCGCAAGGCCGACGTGCCTGACGTTCTCATCCCGTGGCTTGTCTCTACGCGTGTCCACCGCGGTCTCCCTGTCTTGCGTCTCCACTCCGACCGTGGTGGCGAGTTTGCCTCTCGTGTCCTTGGTCGTTTCTGTCGTGCTGAGGGCATCACCCAGACGTTCACCCTGCCGGACTCCCCGCAACAGAATGGGGTCGCTGAGCGACGCATCGGTTTGGTCATGGAGGTGGCTCGTACCTCCATGATCCACGCTGGTGCACCCCATTTTCTGTGGCAATTCGCTGTTCGCTACGCCGCTCACCAGCTTAACCTGTGGTCGCACCCCCAGCAGCCGCACGGTTCGCCGACCCTTCTTTGTTCCAGGTCTCCTGGTGACGCGTCTGCGTTTCACGTCTGGGGCTGCCTTGCTCACGTTTGTGCCTCTGGCACGGAAATGCTCACTGCCCGCACCCTCCCTTGTGTCTTCCTCGGTTTCCCTCTTGACGCGTCCGACTGGCACTTCTACCACCCCCCGTCTCACCTGTTTTTTCACTCCCTTGACGTCACCTTTGACGAGTCCGTCTCCTTCTACCGCCGCTCCCCCCACAGAGGTCCCCCGGTTACTCCCCACCTGTTCCTGGTCACCCCTTCCCCGGTAGCCCCTATCCACCCCCCTCCCCCTCCCCGTCCTGCACCGTCTGGTGTGTCTCACATCAATCCCCTCCCGTCGGTTGTCCCGGTCGAGGAGTCTGTTGACTCTGGTGGCCCTGCAACACAGTCCTCGCTGCCTGCCCCTTCCCAGGCATCTCCTCCTCCGCCGCCTTCGCAGTCGCCGTCGCCGCCGCTGTCGCAGCCGCTGTCACCGCCGCTGCCGCCGCCGCAGCCGTCGCCGCAGCCGTCGCAGCAGCAGTTCGTTGACTCTGGGGGTGCTGGCGTTGGGGTGGGTACTAGTCCTCGGGTTCCTGTCGTGGCTTGTCCCGGTGGGCCTGGGGGTGGTTCCGGTGTTTGCGAGGTTTCGGGCTCTGGGAGTGTTCCTTCTGGGGGTGCTTGGGTGGAGTGTTCCGGAGGTAGCCATGGAGCAGCTTGCCATCCCGGTGTCGATGTCGTGCCGCCGCAGCAGCAGTCACCGCCGATGTCAGCGCTTCGCCTGCTCGACCTCCCCTCCCCTGACCACATGTCTGTGCCTCCCCTGCCGTCTCCTCCCCTTCCTGTCTACGGCCCTGTGTTCCCTCCCCCGGACTCATCTCTAGCTCGTCTTCCTCCTCGTTCCCCTCCTATGTCCCCTCCTCTGTCTCCTGACTTGACGCCTCCGTCTCACGTCTAGTCTCGTCGTCCCTCCCGTGCTCGCCCCGTCTCCCCTGTCCCGCGCTCTCATCCTATGTTGCTTCGTTTTCACGCGTCTCGTTCTCCACTCCTACCGTTGCTGCCTCCTTCCTCTCTTGTTGTTGCGCCTCCCCCCCTGTCTGACTACCTTCGCGCTGCTCGTCCCCTTGTTCCTCGGGTCCTTGCCTCTCTCGTTACCGACCCGTCTGTTCCGGTCTCGTGTCTCGCCGCTCTTGTCGCTGCGGTCGCTGAGTTCGCCTCTAACCACCGCCTTGACTACGCTACCGCTCTGGTCTCTGACCCTGCCCGTCCTCCGTCCGTCGGGGGTGCTCCTGCCATCGAAAGTGACGTCCTGTAGGACCGCCAGTACGAGCTTGCTTTCCTGTCCGAGGCTGCTCCCCATCTCTGTTCCATGCCACGTGTCCCTGAGGGTGACCCAGACGCTTTCGACATCCCGACCCCTCGCACTTACGCTGAGGCGACCTCGGGACCTTGGGCCTTTCAGTTGATAGCTGCCATGGAGCAGGAGATGGCATCTTGGAGATCCACCGGCACCTACGTCGACGCAATTCCTCCACCTGGGGTGAACATAGTCGATGGCCGTTGGCTCTTCAAGGTGAAGCGCCCTCCTGGAGAGCCGCCTGTGTTCAAGGCGCGCTACGTGGCTAGAGGCTTTAGTCTGCGTGAGGGGGTGGACTTCTTTTAGACTTTCGCCCCGACCCCGAAGATGACTACTCTTCGGGCGCTACTACACGTAGCAGCACAGCGTGACTACGAGTTACACTCCCTCGACTTCTTCACTGCGTTTCTTCAGGGCAGTCTACACGAACATTTCTACCTGCGCCGCCCTCTGGGTTTCACTGGTACCTTCCCTCGTGGGACCCAGTGGCTTCTGTGTCGCCCAGTCTACGGCTTGCGTCAGGCTCCCCGCGAGTGCCACAATATACGCTGCGTGCTACACTTGCAGACCTACAGTTCTTTCTGTCTTCCGCAGACCCCTCGCTCTTTGTTCGTTCTGGCCAGACTCCGTTCCACATCCTTGTTTAGTAGACGATCTGGTCTTTGCCACTGCAGACACCACTGCGGTGACCTTTTTGAAGGCTGAGCTGCTGAGGAGACAAACCTGCACTGACCTAGGAGAACTGCGCCATTACCTGGGCCTGCAGATCTCTAGAGATAGAGCAGCGTGCACCATCACTCTCACCCAGTCACACTTGGTGCGCCAGGTCCTTCAGAGGTTCGGTCTTCAGTTCTCCTCCGCACAGCCCACACCTCTTCCAGTAGATCACAGGCTCTCTTCTCCAGTTCCTGAGGAGTCACTAGAGTCCAGTGGTCCTTACGCAGAGCTGGTGGGTTGCCTCATGTACCTTATGACTTGCACTCGTCCAAATCTCGCATACCCTCTCAGCATCCTGGCTCGCTTTGTGGCCACCGGCAGACACAGACCTCAGCACTGGTCTGCAGCTAAGAGGGTTTTGCGTTATATCGCGAGTACATCAGGCATAGGTTAGTGCTGGGAAGACGCAAGGCGGTGGTCCTTACTTGGCACACAGACGCTTCTTGGGCAGACGACGCTGAAACCCTTAGGTTCTCGCAGGGCTACTGCTTCAGCCTTGGTTCAGGTGCTGTCTCATGGAGAGCTACTTGCTCGTCGTCTGTTGCCCATTCCACTTGTGAGGCCGAGATCTACGCTGGTGCCATGGCGGCACAGGAGCTCCGCTGGCTGACCTTCTTGCTCACTGACTTCGGTGAGCGGCCTAGCTTTGCACCAGTCCTGTACGCTGACAACATGGCCATGATCCTGGAGCCTCGACTTGAGGGCAGAGCAAAGCACATCCAGCTGCGGTACTTCCTCCTGCGCGAGCTGCAGCAGCGTCGCCACGCTCGTGTAGTGTTGGAGTGGTTTCGCCACCCACAACGGACTACTCGTGACTTGGGGTGACGAGGAGAGAAATGCGGATTTGGGACGAGAAGGAACTAGGAAGCGGGTATTGCGTAAGCGTGAGGTGTACGGAAAGGGGAGAAGCAAGAGAGAAGGTTGAGAGAAGATTGGTGGAAAGAAAGAAGATGGAGGAGTTGAGTGGAAGAAAGGAAGGGAAGTGGCGAGAAACAGATTGACGTGGGGCAAAAGTTGGGTTTCGGACGGGGCGTGTTCAACAAGCATTCGGACTTCGGACCGACGGCGTGTTCAGCAAGAAAGTCGCGATTGCGTGTGCGACTCGGCGTGACACGAGGTGCGCGAGTTACTCGCAGCGCACACAGCAGTTACGAAGCGCGAAATTGCTTGTACTTCCACTATAAATCTGTTTGAACATTTGTGCTTTGTATCTCATTGGAACTAGTGGAATGCTTGTGTGTATTGACAACTTGCAACCACTTTGAGATCAGATTATGATGCAAGGCCCTTGAGGCTATTTGCACAAGTATTTCTAAATACTTTTCGCTGAGCAGGAGGCGATAGTCTCCTAGATCTGGTATCAGAGCCTCGTTATTGTCACGGTCGATGTAATCACATGTGGCGTGGCTAGAGGAAAGTCGAGTAGAGGAGGCGTACCAACATTTAGTCATGGGGAACGGCACGGATGAGGCAAGTTCGAGCTCAACCGTGAGCATTGAAAAGTCGGAGCTGAAAAGTCTTCTCGAGGCCCTAGCCAAGAGCCAAGAAACCTTGGCCAAGGCACAAGTGGTGCCCAAGCCGACCATCAATCTCCCCGAGGCGCAACGATTTGTTGGCGTGAACTATAGCACGTGGCGGCTTAAGTTCATTCGGCGCGCTAAGGAGGTTGGATTGTGGAAGTACTACGACCAAGCTACCGAAGTACCGGATGACACGGCTTCGGAGAAGGAGAAGGCGGCGTACAAGGAGAAGAGCGAGCACGCTCTCTTCCAATTGTGCAACTTGGTGGCGGATGGAATCATCATCGGGATGGACAACTTCGTCGATGAAGTCAACGCCGCACAACTCGGGTGGGATCACATGGACTCGCTCTACATGGGCAAGACCGAGGCGAACATGGCGAACGTCCGTCAGAATCTCATCCTACTCCATTTGAAGCCCAACAAAACAATCGCGGAGTACGTGAATCGTGCCAAGAGCTACGAAGACGAGTTGAAGGCGATGGGTGTACCCGAGACCGAGAAGCAAATGACGAGTGGGAGGTGCACAAAGGCAACGTCTCGTGTAGCCGACCGAAGACATTGACGGAGTTGGCGGAAACGCTTCAATCATTGGAGCTAATCCGCACCAACACCATGAACAGAAAGAAGCTCTTGGATGAGCTCTTTGGCGAAAACCCGGTGCTTGTCAATGCTGTTGGAGCCGGAAAACCGGTGGGTGCGTGCTTTCATTGCTGAAAGAAAGGGCATAAGGCGGCCAAGTGTTTCTCCAACCCCAAGAGTCCGAACTTCAAGGGGAGGAGTATGCAACATGGCGGCGGAACGAGTGGAGAAGGTCAACGCGGACGGGGAACCTTCCCCGGCACTTGCAACCATTGCAACAAGTACGGGCACAAGGCGATGGATTGATATTCTAACCCGAATGGCAAGAACTATAGGGCACGGTCGCAAGAAAAGACGACAACTCCTGCCAAGACCAACGTCGTGGAAGCTGAGAAAGCAAAGGAGGACGACGCTATCATGGGCAGAGCACACAAGGCGAATGTGGCCCGCGCCTCATCGGCGTGTCTCCTTGCTAAGGGTGTTCAAAGCAAGGCGTGGTTCATGGATAGCGGATGCACGCAACACATGACCAACCGGGCGACGTGGCTACAAAACTTCCGCACGTCTACCGTGCCTCACGTACTTCTCGGTGATGATGGCCAACTCGATGTGAAAGGGGAAGGCGACATGGTGCTACAAAGTCCGTTTGGGGAGCTGAAATTGGACAACGTACTCTTCATCGACAAGCTCTCCCTCAACCTCATAAGTCAAACCCAACTCGATGGGAGTGGGTGCAAGACCTTCAGCAACAATGGGAAGCTTTGGGTGTTTGTACCCAAGTGGAAGGTGCTTGCCGAGGGAGAACGCAAGCAAGGTTTGTATGAGATGCGGGTGATGGAAAAACCAATACCGGAAGCTAAGGTTACGTACCTTGACGAACCCGAGGAAGGGAAGAAAGCAAGGGAGGAGCTTCTTTCAAAGATGGAAGAAGCATATGGGCATGAGTGGCAGCAACAAACACTCATGGTAGCGGCAAAACCGAAGTCGGTCGACCTCAACACCATGCATCGAAGGATGGCGCATGCAAGCTCTTCTCGGATCAAGGAACTCTTCAAGAAGAAGATGGTCACGGGAGTGGAGCTAGTTGAAGGCAATGGCGTGGAGGTGACGACGTGCACTTCATGTGTGGGAAGAACAAGAAGGTCCCTTACCCAATGCATGGTGCTAAGTTGGAGCCATATGAGGCGATGGAGATTGTCGCGGCGGATGTGTGTGGACCCATGAAGGTTCCATCTCGGCACGGGAGCAAGTACTTCGTAACCTTCACCGACATAGGCACGAGGAACACGTGGGTCTCGGAGATCAAGGACAAGACCCAAGTCCTTGAGTGCTTCAAGGAATGGCTAGCGGAAGCGGAGCGGCAAAGTGGCAAGCTTCTCAAGGTCCTTCGAACCGACAACGGCGGAGAGTTCGTCAACAAGGCATTCGATGCCTTCCTTCGTGAAAAAGGGATCCGACGCCAACTCACCATTCCCTACACACCCCAACACAATAACATTGCGGAGCGGGTCAATCGCGCACTACTCGAGGGCATGAGGAGCATGCTTCCCGAGAGTGGGTTGACCTTGGACTATTGGGGAGATGCGGTGGCGATGGCTTGTTGGCTCAAGAACCGGATGCCGACTAAAGGGCTAGCGGCGGACGTCACCCCCCATGAAGCCTTCTATAAAAGGAAGCCCAACCTTGGGTTCCTTAGGGTGTGGGGATGCATGGTGCAATACCGTGAGCCGGCGGGTCCCGATCACAAGCTTCTCTTGAGGACCAAGTGGGGTGTTCACTTGGGACCATCTACCGTGAGCAAAGGACAAGGACGTGTGTTTGGGAGTTGAAAACAATGAGGTGGAAGTTGAAGAAGCCGAGGAGGAGCATGTGCCCATGGAGGGAGAAATGAGTACCATGGACTCAAGTGGACCTTGGAGGCTCATGACCTCTAAGGATAACGAGAAGGAGGTGGAAGAGATTGAAGGTCTTCTCAATGAAGGAGCCATCTTGATTGGACAAGAGGAAGAAGAGGAGACGGATAATGAGGCAACGTCAACGCCAAAGGAAGCCGAACCCGAACCGGAGGAGGAGAGGATGGGGAGAGGACGACGTATCAAGAAGCCGAATCCAAACGTGGTTGGCCCTCAATATGCCAACGCCATCATGACGTGCTTCAAGGACATCCACACCCACCTCCTCCTCACCATCTCGGCAACGACATTAGTTTCCAAGGCAACACGTGCAAAGTACAATCTACCCGATGAACCGGTCACCATTGAAGAAGCACTTTCGGGGCCATATCACAAGGAGTGGAGGAAAGCCATTCAAGAAGAGCTAGATACCTTGGCGGAAAGGGGAACTTGGGTACTTAAGGAACTTCCAGAAGAAAGGAGGCCGGTTGGAGTGAGGTGGATCTTCAAGATCAAAACGGGAGACTTGGGTCAACTCGAGCGCTTCAAGGCAAGGCTCGTTGCCAAGGGCTACACTCAAGTGGAAGGAGTGGATTGTGTTGAAACCTACGCACCCGTGAGCAAGCTTACAACGGCAAGGACCTTGCTCAAGGTGGTAGCCGCTCGTGACTATCACTAAGTGCAGCTCGACGTCAAGAATGCTTTCCTATACGGCGAGCTGCAAGAGGAAATCTACATGGAGCAACCCCCCGGGTGTGAAAATGGCACCAACCGCAAGTGCAAGCTCATCAAAGCACTCTATGGCCTTAAGCAAAGCCCACGTGAGTGGTACAAGGCCATGGATGAGCACTTAATGAAGGGTGGCTTTGAGAAAAGCCAAAGTGACCGAGCATTCTATTGGAGGGGAGAAGGGAAGGAGAAAGTCTTCCTCCTTCTCTATGTGGACGACATTCTCGTGGCGGGAGCTCTTGAAGCAGAGGTGGAAGTGTGTGCAAGCACCTTGCAAGCATCTTCCAAGTGAAGCAAATTCCAAGGGCAACCCTCTTCCTTGGAATGAACTTGGAGCGGAACCGAGAGGAAAGGAAGCTGCTTCTTTACCAAAAGTGTACTCTCATCGGTTGAAGGAGCGTTTTGGCGACCATTTCGGAACCAAACTCATTGTAACACCTCTCAGTAGCTTGGCGGGAAAAGAGGTGGATGTGGAAGAAGAGATGGACACATGGGGCAGCAAAGAGAGGGCCTTGAAGGTGTACCAATCCATGGTGAGATCGGTGATGTACCCCGTGTCATGCACACGAGTTGACATCGCCTATGCTGCAAGTTTCTTGGGGCAAAACGTGCTCCAACCCGAAGGGAAGAAATGGAAGGAGATGGAGAGGACCCTCACCTACCTTGTGCAAAGGAAGGATGAAGGCTTGCTGTTTGAAGGAGGAGAAGAGGGACTTGAGCTCATGGGATATGCCGATGCCTCACATGCATCGGACAAGGAGACGAGGAGGGGGGCATACGGCTATGTCTACCTCCTTGGTGGGACGGCCATCATGTGGCAAGCGAAGAAAATCGACGATATTTCTCTCTCAAGCGCCGAAGCCGAGTACATGGCATTATTCTATGCATGCCAAGAGGGTGTGTGGCTGCGATGTCTACTCAACGAGATGGACATCAACATGGAGGGCCCGATCACCATCAAGAGCGATAGCCAATCGGCTATTGCACTAGCGAAGAACGACAACTGGCATGGGAAGACTAAGCACATGGATGTGAAATATCACTGGGTGAGGGAGCAGTTAGAGAAGCAGCAGTTCAAGTTCGAGTTTGTGCGCACTGAGGAGCAAGCAGCTGATTTCTTGACCAAGGTGCTGCCAAGGGCCAACTTTGAGTACTGCAAGGAGAAGGTCGGGATACGTACCTTGAAGGACATGCAGGGGAGTGTGAAGGTGACTTAGAGGGTGTGGTTGGCAGAACCAAAGGAGAGGTTGTTGGAGTGGTTCCGCCACCCACAACGGACTACTCGTGACTTGGGGTGACGAGGAGAGAAATGCGGACTTTGGACGAGAAGGAACTAGGAAGCGGGTATTGCGTAAGCGTGAGGTGTACGGAAAGGGGAGAAGCAAGAGAGAAGGTTGAGAGAAGATTGGTGGAAAGAAAGAAGATGGAGGAGTTGAGTGGAAGAAAGGAAGGGAAGTGGCGAGAAACAGATTGACATGGGAAAGTTGGGTTTCGGACGGGGCGTGTTCAACAAGCATTCGGACTTCGGACCAGGGACGTGTTCAGCAAGAAAGTAACGATTGCGTGTGCGACTCGGTATGACACGAGGCACGCGAGTTACTCGCAGCGCACACAGCAGTTACGAAGCGCGAAATTACTATAAATCTGTTTGAACATTTGTGCTTTGTATCTCATTGGAACTAGTGGTATGCTTGTGTGTATAGACAACTTGCAACCACTCTGAGATCAGATTATGATGCTAGCCCCTTACGGCTATTTGCACAAGTATTTCTGAATACTTTTCGCTGAGCAGGAGGCAATAGTCTTCTAGATGTAGTACACTTGGCTTCCGGTGCCAACACAGCTGATATCTTTACGAAGGCCCTTGCGCCTAAAGATCATCAGCGGCACTGTGTACTGCTAGGCCTTGTTCCTGTTACCTCTCACCTGCTAGGGCCTTGACTATGTACTGACCTTAACATATATATATTATTCTTGACTGGCCTCTCCCAGTTGCTGGACTAGTAGTGCCGCCCTGGTCTTGCCCTTGCACTGGTCTGTACTTGTTTGACTGGTCTTTAGACCCTTGACTCAGAGGTTGGACTAGTAGTGCTGCCCTGAATTGCCGTTTCTCTCATCAGGAACTGCACCTATGCAGTCTAGTGTTAGCATACAAGAATGATGACTAGAAGGTGAAACAAGGAACATATAGCTATTGGGTTGTACTCCCTAGGAGCACACACCGATACTAGCCTATAACTTCTACATGCATGACATGTATCAGTTGACACACCCCCTAGGCTAGAGAAGGGGTGGTGCAGGCAAGAAGCACATAGCTCACGGAGGCACTACTAGTCCAACCACTGAGGCAGGGGTCCAAAGACCAGTCAGCAAGAGTACAGACAAGACAAAAGCAAACCGGGGCGGCACTACTAGTCCAGCCACTGGGAGTAAAGCCACAAGGCTAGTCAAACAGGTATATATATAGTGAGGAGTACACAAGTCAGGGTCCTAACAAGTAAGTAGCTACAGGAACAAGACCAAGCTGGACACAGTGCCGCTGATGATCTTTAGGCGCAAACGCCTTAGTAAAGATATCAGCTTTGTTGGCACCGGAGGCCAATTGAACTACGCGGGCCTGGCAACGATCCTGTAGCTCGCGCAGGAGGAAGTACCGCAGCTGGATATGCTTTGCTCTGCCCTCAAGCCGAGGCTCCTGATACAGGAGAATCATGGCCCTGTTGTCAGCGTACAGGACCGGGGCAGAGCTAGGCCGCTCACCTAAGTCTGTGGGCAAGAAGGTAAGCCAGCGGAGCTCCTCTGCCGCCATGGCACCGGCGTAGATCTCCGCCTCACAGCTGGAGTGAGCAACAGACGACGAGCGAGTGGATCTCCAAGAGATAGCACCAGAACCAAGACTAAAACAGTAGCCCTAAGACGACCTGAGAGTCTCAGAGTCGTCTGCCCAAGAAGCGTCTGTCTGCCCAGTGAGGACCACTGGCCTGCGTCCTCCTAGCACTAACCCCATGCCCGATGTACTAGCAAGATAACGCAAAACCCTCTTAGCGGCAGACCAGTGCTGAGGTCGGTGTCTGCCTGTAGCCACAAAGAGAGCCAGGATGCTGAGAGGGTATGCGAGATCTGGGCGAGTGCAAGTCATAAGGTACATGAGGCAACCCACCAGCTCTGCGTAGGGGCCACTGGGCTCTACTGGCTCCTCACGAAAGGGAGCGGAGAGCCCATGGTCAACAGGTAGAGGTGTGGGCTGTGCGGAGGAGAACTGAAGACCGAACCTCTGAAGGACCTGACGCACCAAGTGTGACTGTGTCACAGTGATGGTGCTTGCTGCTCTGTCCCTAGAGATCTGCAGGCCAAGATAGCGACGCAGCTCTCCAAGGTCAGTGCAGGTGTGTCTCTTCAGCAGCTCGGCCTTCACAGAGGCTAGTGCGTCCCTGTGAGCAGTAGCGAAGACCAGGTTGTCTACGTAGACAAGGATGTAGAACGGAGTCTGGTCGGAACGCACAAACAGCGAGGGGTCAGTAGAGGACGAAAAGAACTGCAGGTCTGCTAACGTGGCCTGCAGCGTGTCATGCCACTCGCGGGGAGCCTGACGCAGGCCGTAGACCGGGTGCTTGAGAAGCCAGTGGGTCCAAGGGGGGAAGGTACCAGTGAAGCCCTGTGGTCGGCGCAGGTAGACATGCTCGTGTAGGCTGCCCTGAAGAAAGGCAGTAGAGAAGTCAAGGGAGTGAAGCTCGTAGTCGCGCTCTGCTGCTACGTGTACCAGCGCCCGAAGAGTGGTCATCTTCGGGGTCGGGGCGAAGGTCTGGAAGAAGTCAACCCCCACACGCTGACTGAAGCCTCTGGCCACGTAGCGCGCCTTGAAGACATG